GTGTTCCAGGCTCTTATAAACGACGTTCTTAGAGACTTTCTTGGTGATTTCGTATTCATCTATCTTGACGACATCCTCATTTACTCCAAAGACCCCAATCAGCACATTAACCATGTTAGAGCGGTGTTACAATGCCTCTATGAGAATCAACTGTTTGTCAAACATGAGAAATGCGAGTTTCACGTCTCCTCTGTGTCTTTCCTTGGGTTCATTTTTGGTAAAGGCCATTATCGCACGGATCCTGAAAAGACCCGAGCGGTAGTGGATTGGCCCACCCCGGAGACTAGGAAACAACTTCAACGCTTTCTCGGGTTTGCTAACTTTTATAGGCGCTTCGTCCGAAACTATAGTAGAGTGGCGGCCCCGCTGTCACAACTCACCTCCATAAATAAGATTTTCAAATGGAACCCCAAAGCAGATTCCGCCTTTAAGAAATTAAAGAAACTTTTTTCTTCACCTCCCTTCCTTCCTCATCCGGACCCAAGTCGTCAATTCATCCTGGAAGTTGACGCCTCTGATTCTGGCGTCGGGGCCGTACTGTCCCAGAGGTCCTCAGAAGACAACAAGGTTCACCCATGCGCTTTTTTTTCTCGACGTCTTTCCCCAGCTGAGAGGAACTACGATGTGGGCAATCGTGAGCTCCTCACCGTTAAGTTGGCTCTCGAAGAGTGGAGGCACTGGTTAGAGGGAACAGAGACTCCTTTCTTAATCTGGACTGATCACAAGAATCTAACCTATTTGAGAGACGCTAATCGTCTGACTCCCCGACAGGCCCGTTGGTCACTCTTCTTCAGTAGCTTCAACTATACACTCACGTTCAAGCCAGGATCCAAGAATGTGAAGCCTGACGCACTCTCCCGCCAGTTTTCACCTCCAGATACCCCCGACCGTCAAGAGTCTATCATTCCCTCAACCTGCATTATTGGGGCACTTCCTTGGCCTATAGAAAGAGAGATCAGAGAGGCACATGAGCACGAACCTGACCCTGGTCTCGGACCCCCCGGAACCTTATTTGTTCCCTCTTCCATGAGGGCCAAGGTTCTGGAGTGGGTTCACACCAACAGACTTTCTTGCCATCCTGGCGTAACTCGCATGCTCACACTTGCCAAGAAACATTTTTGGTGGCAAACCCTTTCCCAAGACGTGAAGGAGTTTGTTGCGGCGTGTCCCACCTGTGCCAGGAATAAAACAGGGAACCAACCACCGGCTGGCCTCCTTCATCCTCTACCATCACCCGGTCGCCCTTGGTCACATATATCCATTGACTTTGTTACAGGCTTACCTCCCTCAGAGGGGAACACCACTATTCTGACCGTCGTCGACAGGTTTTCTAAGGCAGCTCATTTCATTCCCCTTCCTAAGTTACCTTCAGCCCATGAGACTTCACAGCTCCTTGTCCAACACGTCTTCAGAATCCACGGCATCCCCTCAGACATTGTTTCCGACCGAGGTCCCCAGTTTATCTCTCAAGTTTGGCGATCGTTCTGCAAGACACTGGGGGCATCCTCGAGTCTCACTTCTGGGTACCATCCACAATCTAACGGCCAGGCCGAAAGATGCAACCAGGAACTAGAGGCCACCTTACGCTGCATCGTGGAGGACAATCCTTCGGCCTGGTCCCGTCACCTGGTCTGGGTTGAGTATGCGCACAATTCACACAAGACTTCTGCAACTGGTATGTCTCCCTTCGAAGCGTCGCTGGGGTACATGCCTCCTCTGTTTCCCAGTCAGGAAACGGATTGCATGGTACCTTCGGTCCAACACCATTTCAGACGGTGTCGTCGAGTCTGGCGTCAGACCAGGTCAGCCCTTCTTCGGACAGCTGCCCAAAATAAGAGATACGCTGACCGCCACCGCTCGACGGCGCCGCCTTACCAGGTTGGTCAAAGAGTGTGATTGTCCACCAGGGACATCCATCTCAAGGACCTCTCCAGGAAGATGGCTCCTCGATTCATCGGTCCTTTTCCTATCGAGAGGATCATCAACCCAGCAGTAGTCCGTCTCAAACTTCCTACCTCCATGAAAGTCCACCCTACCTTTCACGTTTCCCAGGTTAAACCGGTATCCGAGAGCCCATTGAGCCCTCCAACCAACCTCCCTCCTCCCCCCCCGGTTGATCGACAATCATCCGGCTTTTTCCGTCCGGAAGATCTTGGATGTCCGGTGCCGGGGGAGAGGTTTCCAGTACCTGGTGGACTGGGAGGGTTATGGCCCTGAGGAGCGATCCTGGATCCCACGTTCATTCATCTTGGACCCCAGCCTCATCACTACCTTCTTCCAAGCACACCCTGAGAAGCGCTTCAGATCGCCTGGAGGCGATTCTTGAGGGGGGGTGGTACTGTGAGAGTAGCACTTGCTGCAGCTTCCAAGATGGCCGCCAATCACCCCCAGCTGACGGTCATCTCCCTGATGAGCTCCTGCTCCTATTTAAGCCTGCAGTCAAGTCTACTCGACGCTGGAGCATTGAGTTCCCCCGGTACTTAATGTTTCTAGCCGTTTAATGTTTCACGGAATACAAGTCTTACCTTGTGATCTTGTTCCTACAGTTCCTCGTCGCCTCCCGGGTCCTGTCCTGATTCCACGGGTCCCAGTCCTCAGATTTCTCATGCCTTGCCAAGCTCTGATCTCTCGTGCCTTTCTACTCAGTCTCTGG